ACACACACACACACACACACACACACACACACACACACACACACACACACACACACACACACACACACACACAAACACACAGAGTCACAATGGTGACAAACGAATGTTTATAACCCTGGAGGGCAGGCTTGGTGGGCCCAGAGACTGCATAGGGAACATTTCACCCCCCATCTCCTTTGGCTTTGAGTTATCAAATGGCTTCATACAAACAACACAAAAGTTTTCATCGTCCAATGTCTCAGAATCCTCAGTCTAGGCTTTCTCTCTCTCTTTTTTTTACTTGACTTTATTCTTTTCTAATTCCAAGATACTCGTTTTTTTACATTTTTGTTTCYCTCCTATTCAAATTTTCTCTGATCTCCAGTGATTATGCTTACCTCTCATGGAGTTAATCTATAACACAGGTCTGCTGCCTCAGTCAAATAGCCAACCAACTCTTCCTCTTGTGCTTCGGGAAAAAAATGTTGCTGCTCCAGTATCCAGCAGGCACTCCACGGTGTGGTGAAAATAGCAGGGAAAATCACTGGGGCATCTCTCCCAGAGATCAGTACTATCTACACCACACGCTGTCTACGGAGAGTGCAGAACATCCTGCGTGACTGCAATCATCCTGCCTATCACCTGCTCCAATGGCTACCCTCAGGTAGAAGGTACAGTTAGCCGGACTAAAAGACTGGCCAACAGTCCATAACCCCATGCTATAAGACTTTTGAATTTACAGGGCTGTTGAGAAATCACAGTCTAATGTTTACATTATAATTACTGGGGCTACTTACTACTTATATACTTATGTACTTATTTATTATAGTGGGGTTGGGGAGCTGTTTACTTGTTTATTTGTTTATTAATTTATAGTTTTGTAAGACGTATGTGTGCAAGCACTGGTGTCACTTTTACCTTTTATGCACTTTAATGGGAAACATGCTACTGCAGTGRTTTGCAGTTTCTGCTCAGTATTACATGGCAGATGTGCTTTTGCAACTGATCTGATAGACTTGTCCTTCTTTGTGACCTCAATCAAAGAAAAAAATCAAGAAACTTTTCTTTGTTGTATGTAAGGGGATAGTTGTGACACTTTTTAAAGATGCGTTACCCCACCCCTGTCAGCCATTGTTTAGCTAGCTGTATTAGCATAGTGGTTTGAAATTAGCAGGGTGGAAATGCATCGTATTTTACCCGAGAAGCCACAATTTCATGCAATTTAATTTATATGGTTTTATATGCAATAGTAAGGGTACTAAACAAAATATAGTAATGACTCAAAAATTTAATTTCTTACCTCAAAAGTAGTCTTTTCTTTAGAAAATCTGCATGCACCTGTTTCAAGCCTTGACAACCACCATATAGGGTCAAGGGGGAAATAGGGACACACTGTTATGATCCTATCTTATATGTGATTGGTGGAATTGGTGGTGTTACAGCTCTCCCCATTTTACAACCAGACCCGGTCTCCCATAGATGTGGTAGGTACCACATAAGTACTGGTTAAAGGCACAGTGAGTAGGATTTTGTCAATTCTTTTAGCCGAAATTGAGATAATCACTAATGACAATAATAAAAAACATGTCTAATCATTGCAGACAAAGACCTTGTTTTATTATTTTCACCTTATAAAAAACTGTTTATATCTCCATGGTCGCAGGTCGCCCTACAGGCAGCCGCCATCTTGCAATGCCATCTTGTCTACGAAGGCTCATGAAGGACAAACTGCGGTGGCGGCGTCAAAAACGGTTTTAGTTGTAATACTATAAATGTAATATTTGTTGTCTGTSATTGTAGCTGGGATAATTTTACTTATTAAAGCTCATAATATTACCACATGAAACATCACTAGCCCTGAAGCTGCTGGTAGACATCGCGGTTGGAATTATCAAAGGTTTTTGACACCTGAGAGACACCGTAGCAACTCCTTTGGCTGTGTCTCAATTCAGGGGCTGGGTCCTCATGAGCGCGCATTTGTCGGCCGCATACATCATTGCMCCGCGCGGAGGACTGTCCCAGTTTGAAGKCTCCTCATCATGCGGCCGAGGAATGCGTCCTTCTTCCTGTCGAAATCCGAGGATGCATCCATGTATCCTCACCAGCCRAGGATATCCCAGGATTCAGTGCGCGGGCTGCAAAATGAACTGAGAAATGAAGACGGTGGTGTTTTTATTTTTTTAACCTGTCGGGGCAGTTTGGAAATTCACCACGGACCGAAGGATTTGTTTTTTAAAAGTTAGTTTAGCAACTTAGCTGATGAAATTTATGCTGCAATAAGATGTTAAATAAAAGAAAATGCAACTACAAGTTATGAGAATAAAGTATAATAAGAATAAAATCATAACATTATGAGAATAAAATCATAATATTATGAGATTAAAGTCATTCTACAAGAAAAAAGTCTTAATATCCTAGCCTTTAGGTGAAAAAGCATGCAGTCATCACTGCATTAAAATGAGGATGTTGTCAAGTTATTCTTTATTGTTTATAAATAAATAGTTATCTTTTAGCACCCAATTATCAGTTACAGGACATGGACATTGTGCAGACGACTATATGATAAACTGAAGCTGTATTGTAATTAATAGATGCATTGACAGATTTAGTCATCACGTAGTTAATTTGGAAGAAAGCATATTAATCTAACAGTGATCTTTCTTTCTTTCTTTCTTTCTTTCTTTCTTTCNTTTCTTTCTTTCTTTCTTTCTTTCTTTCTTTCTTTCTTTCTTTCTTTCTTTCTTTCTTTCTTTCTTTCTTTCTTTCTTTCTTTCTTTCTTCAACTGGGTAAGCTATAATCAGTAAATTAACACAACTTTAGAGGATGCATTCTTGTTTAGTTTTCACTGTGCTGTAGCTTTATAGTCTACAGTACACTTTTTGAAAATGTGCCATGGAGACTGACACAACTGCAAGTATAGAATTTCAGCCTAAACCCAGCTCGAATTTCGGTCGGGTTTGGGTCGAACTCAGGCTATAAATCTAAACTCTAATTGTACGTACCTAAGTACCAGTATGATTTCAGCATGTTTCAGAATTTTACCCTGTTGGTAGCAAGTGCACTGAATTAGCCGGCCAATTTATTGGCCTCAATTTTCTTTATTTTGAGGTCTGCGATCAGCCGATACGAACATGAGAAACCGATTTTATCCACCGATCCATCTACATCCATAAGGGTTTGAAAATCAGACACTGTTCCCTTTTGCTCTGCTGCATTGAGAGAGCTGTTGTCCAGCTAAAATAAGTTTTTTATCATTTCAAGAGCATTGTTCAATGTTTAATAAAATAAGATTGGAACAATAAAGGTGTACCTTATACCAGATGACCATGTCTGTTGCAAATTGAACCATCCATCCAACCATCCATTATCTATACACACTTATTCCTTTCAGGGTCACTGGGGCCCATATCCAGTCACAGTGCGAGGGGCRGGGTACACCCTGAACAGTTTGCAGGTCCATCACAGGGCAAAATGAATCAGTATCAGTCAAAATCAGAATTGTCAGGTCAGGTTTTTTAAAGATCAGTGATTGGCCAGACGACTTCAGTTGGTGCACTCCTGGTTTCTTGAATCATGTACATAGTTGGTAAATATCAGGAACATGTCCATCAATAACCAGGTGCATTTTTAGTAGATATGTTTCTGGTAAATATTAGTTTCTGGTAAGTAGCTGGTAAGTACCCAGTAAGTATGTATTCACTGAGCACCAGTATGTATCGAGCCAAATGACAGTATGTATTGTTACTCTGCAGACACATCCATCTATTTTTATACAGCATGATGGCATGTCCCTGCATGGGTGGGGGGTGGGGGGTGGGGGTACAATTTGTGAGTCTCTTTGATGTCCCTGCATATAACCGCCAATGTGTAACTTTTTTGGTGAGAAAGTGGATAAACCAGTGAAAGTGAACCAACAGGCTTTACGTTTGCATGAAAGAATCCTCCATGCTCTCCTTCCATAAAACCGTTGCTTCCATAAAACCCTAACCGCTGCTGGGAAACTGTCTCCCGGGTGTTAGCACTAGAAAGAATGTAYACAGCCTCCACCAGAGTGGATGATATTCTGTGGCTTATACAGCAGGATGTATCGCACAATATGTTACCAATATGTGAATAATGACCTGATGAATAACAGACAGATAATCCAAAGAGTGCTTTTTATATCTGCCCAATACTTTTAGCTGGATTGACCAGATGGTAAATGGTTCACACTAATATTATATAACATCTTTTAAACTCTCCAAACTCTGCAAAGCTCTGTGCAGTGTTTGTCACCCACTCTCTCACACAAACACACTGACACAGCACCTTTATTACACATTTTACACTCTATAATGGTGGACATGAAATATGTTGGTTTGGAGTCAGTGTTCAGTCAGAACAAAGACACATTTGCCTACTTGTAAAAGATTTGCATCATGCGAAATATCAATTTGACGTGCAGTAACAAGGATGTGAGGAAGGAACAAGTACATAAATTTGATCTGCGATTAAAACAGATAAGCTTTTAAAATGGTCATAAATGCAAAAAAACTGAAAGGAAATACAAACAAATGGTAAATAGATAAAATAATAAAGATTCAATTTTCACATAGTTTACTTTAGTGCACTTGCTCCTCCTCTGAATAAATGAAAACTATGTAACACAGGTGTTTACACTTAAATTAAAAATATTTGACCAAAGAAAAATCGGAGCAGTACTAGAGAGAGAGATGAATAYGATTTAGATTTTTATTTCTGTGACTGTATGACTACGACCCACGGAGGACACGGCATTAACAGCAGTAGTTATTTCATTCCATTCTTTGGCTTAAGCAGCTCCTTTAATTCCAAAACTCACGCTGCTAAAAAGGACAGATTTTCCTTTCTCGATCTCGGAGAGCAGGACCTCAATCTCTGAACTCGTAAAGTTTGTCTTTTTACTTTTCACTGTCGTTTTCATGAATGGACACTTCCTGATATCTGAGGCAGGAAACATAGCCTTATATGGTGTTTTTGGGGTGGTAATTATGCTAATCTCCTCTCCGCGTGCACGAGCAGCTGGATACGAACAGGTGGAATTCATCAGTTTACGCAGCTCATTTACACACTTTTCCTGAAGATAGAAGAGTTTGTTGAATCTGACGTGGCAGGTTCGTACAAACCCTTCGTATGAACAAAAGTAAGAGAAATTTAGGATAGGAATACGAACATGTTCTTGCATGCGGCCCATTCTGATTTAACCTGGTTTCCATTGTAGGAGTGAGCTTAAGGTGAATTAAGCTTTTCCCACATCTCTCATACACAAGGTTATGAGGAAATTTTTACCAAGGTATTCCTCATTACTTGTTAATATCTTGACTGTGCGAAGTGAAAAGTGACACAATACAAAACATTTATGATGATTAATTAACATTTCTGTTTTATAATCAGTTCTGAATCTTCTGTTAGTCCAGATAAATGAAAGATTGTCTCAGGAAAAATCCACAATTATATTACTGTGTTCACAGTAAAATAAAAACAGTGATTTCCATAAAAACACAATGAAAACATTGTAATCAGATTCTCTGTGATTTTTTATACCATTATAAATCTTTAAGGCACGATAAAAGAAAAGAAGTGGTTCCACTTTTCCTGTGACAGTCATTRTCATGATTTAACAAATGCATAAACRTTCTTAGTTAAACAACAAATGAATCACGAACAGAAGAGATTGTTCTGTCCATTATCTGATTAAGAGAACTGAGGGGTTCTCTAACACAGTTAGAATGACCTGTCATGGTCTAAACAGAGTTCAGTTTGTGACAGAGTTCCTGTCCTCTCGTCAGGCCTGTCCGAGGCCTGCTTCGAGGCAGTAAATCTTATTTTTTCACTTGAGGTGAACCCTACACCATAGTGGTTAGTCAACACAAATATGGCTCAAACTCAGTCAGTTTTACAGTTATTTAGCTAAAAGTTGGTGTTTTAATCGATGATAGTCATTCACAACAAATTAGTGCATGCTTTTTAAGTGTTGATCAAAATGGCTACAACTCAAATCAACTGAAATAAACTAGAACTCTGGTGTGAAAGGCAGCAGGCGATATGAATTCCTTGAAGGAATTTGAATCCTTTTTTGAGAGGAGAAATGTTTGTGAAGAAGTGAAAGATGAGCAGACTTGTACAAAACTCTAAACTGGACATTTTTCTGTGTATTTATTATRCCTTCCTTTTTCCTTTTGTATGTGTGAAAGAGATGAGAAACCTAGCACCCAGTGTATGTGTGTGTGTGTGTCTCCATGCAGCACCCTCCCACTGAGGGTGTCCCTCCCCTCTTCCACTCCCACAGCCATTCTAGGGTCAAACATTTGCCTGTTACAACTTGGGTGATATGATGAGTTTTCCCCTTAACACTCATTTGTCATAGGTCTTTTGAATAGATGAGTGGCCGTTTTTCTGGTTTCATGCCTCCAGAACGGGGATAAAACAAGGAAGGACAATTAGCAAGAAGTCATGGGGGATCAGGAGGCTGGCTTAAATGGGTATGGACTGAAAAGGTAAGAAATCTCTCCACCACTTATGATTCAATCAATCAATATAAGTTTTAATTTACGTATATATATCTCAATGAAAACTTAAATATATTCATTGCAATGAAATGAAAACTTGTCAAAAACAAATTTGTAAGATGTAAAAAACAAAATTCTCACATTAATATTAATAGTATTATTTTATTATACTGATGTTTTACTGTATGTGATCTTGTTTTAAAAATTTGTAAGTTAAATTTACAAATGGCTGCCATCTTCTACCTGCAGTTGTTTTCCTTTGAAAATAGACAAAGTGACCTAAAAGTGGTCAATAGAGATGCTGAATGAGGAACTGTTATGGAGAAGTCCAAAAACTTTGATTTGCTGAGAGATATTTGTTTTCAGATTTGTTGAGTGTGTGAGCACCTGCATTGCAGAATAGTGGATGAATTTTCCTGGAAATCTGCTGGATGAACCTAATTTTTTATGCTTGATTTCATAGATTACAATGAGTACCTTTTAGACATCAAGGGAAATGTGTTTACCAGGAAAAATATGAAAGAAGCATTCCGTCAGTTTTATCTTCAGGCTATAGTGTTAACTGATAACGACTCAAGAGTTGTATAGCTTACATTTGGTGACAAAGTTCATGTACTTTAGTGGCAAAGATCTTGTTGAAAAAAATGAATAGAATGCAAACTCAGAAAAACAACTCAGAAATGACAAAGTGTCATTTCAATTAAAAGATTTTTTAGTCCCTTTTAAAAAGGCAAAGATTAGAGGCTGCCATGGCCGTTTTGGATGTTTACTGCCTGTAAATCAATTTTATGTCTGTCTCTTAATGAACCCAACGTCTTAAAGACATTACATGTGATGCAACTCTCAAAATGAAATGTAGCAACTACAACCACAACTTTGGCACACAGTTTCAACACTGAGAAATGTTCTAAATACAACTTTATTCCTAATGTGGCACACTTAGGGGGTATTTACTTTTTAGTCAGCATTCAATTTATGCTGTCTACTTTATAAACATGAATCACTGAAAGTCTTTTTAGAACCGTGAGAAACAAGAATTTTCAAACAGGTCACAAAAAGTTCTATAATCTACAAAAAAAAAAGTTATTTTAAATGGATGTATGAATAGGACGAGTTGAGTTGCTTCATTCATTTGTCAGACCAAACATAGACTCATCATGGTTCATTGGAATAGAACAAAAATGTCCTATTGTCCAGCTACAGAGAAAAGTGTTATTCACATTTGTTGTAACAATTGAGGATGCAGGCAGTAAACTAGGGGCAGGTCAAATAAAAACTGCAATTCGTTAAACACAAAGAAACCCAAGTGTTAGAGGAAACAAAGCCCAAGACTAACCAGGGCCATTATGTATGAGAGCCAAGAGCAAATGGTAAAGAATCAGGAAACCCAAATCTGTCAGGAGGGTAAGTGAGAACAGGTGGAACAGCTACAGGTGAGACACAGGTTAATGAGGGTGTGACAAGCGTTTCAGGGAGGCAGAGAACTATGGCCCCTGAACATAAACCTATACATTCCTTACTAAACCGGCAGCAGAAGACCGGTAACTTAAAACCTGAAACCTAAAAACAGAGATTCATAGAAAACTCAAAACCAGGGGAACAAAACACACCCCTCCCCAATAAATAAATAAGTTTTAAAAAATGATAGTCTAACCTAAAAGTCACCAACAGGTTGAAACACAAATAATTAGATAAAACTGGAAAATGCTGACAACAATGAGGAACACCTGTTCATCTTAACAAGCAGAGTGTACCCCCCCCCCCCCACTGCATAATTTAGTAAAAGATCTATTCAAAACTATGCATTTTCAAGAAATTTTAAAAAACATTTGACTAAATTATTGGGATTAATACAAAAAAGCATCAAATCAGTATTTTATGAAGGTAGGACACTGAAAACCAGACTTTAACCTGAACTTCCATTTTCTTTATTTTGTTTTCTATTCATACACGGAGCACCAGTAGTTAATTTTGAATGCATCAAATAGAACTTTTATCATGAAATATCCTCAGCTCCACATGACACTGAGTTCTCATGTAGTAACAAAACAGTCTGAGAAACCTGCAGAACAAGTTATGTCATCATAAACCTGTGTAACCAGTGATTATTCTTCAGCCTAAATCAAGTACATTTTAATAAAAGTTATAGATTTTTTTGTCCCCTATTTGTGGCACTTCCTAGATGGACAGCACCCTCAGATTCTGCCTATATTGACACAGCCGGCTCTGGTATGCAAACAAACAAGTATATTTAGTTTAAATAGTAAATTTATTAGTCTAGATTAAGATTTTTTAAGTTGTGTGTTTGAATGCTGCGCTCTGTCTTAAAGGCACTTCATCGTCCTGCTTGATCCCAGATATTTAATCTTAACAGACGTCTTACTCGTTTTCTCTCTTTTCTGGAGCTCACCAACAGATTTAGTTCTTTTCCACCGAAATGTCGTCTCCAATAAGATCCCATTGTTCATGTTGTTGTCATGTGACTCAACCTTCTACATGGTTTTTGGTGGATTCGGCTGAGTGCTTTGTTTACATGGAATGTGGACCCACATTTCAGAATTGCCTAACAAAAACTGCTGGAGTATTCTCTTTCAAACTGCATCATTTGATATGGTTCGGGATAACTTTATTTTTCAAACTTTGCAATGAGTAATTTTAAGCTGAGTTTTAATCAGGTGTGACAAACTAACTGGTTTTTAATTCTTCTCTCTTTAGGCAACTGGCTGAGAGTCCGAGTCGTCAGAAGAAGTCTTTGATCCCAAACAAGTTTCAGCTTCTGATCCTGCTCTGTGTAATAGTCTTTGTCATGTGTCTGGCCTTGTCTGACAACTCTCTGGCATGGTGGCAGAGATTTGAACTTCACAAACACTACAACTGGTTCTTCAACCAGACAGACAGAGGTAACATGGTACCACCCTATAAGATCCAGCCAAGACAAAGGGTTGTCCTAACTACCCCTCACAAAACCACAGAACCTCCTACTCTGCAACCTGGAGTAATTTGGTACCATCAGGCCTATCCAGGCAACTATCACTTTATTATGGACAACGCAGATGTCTGCAGGAACAAAACGCCTTTCCTAGTTCTGATGGTTCCAGTGGCGCCAAACAACATTGCAGCTCGGGATGCCATCCGACAGACGTGGGGCAAAGACAGCATGGTTAAGGGGGAGCTGGTTCTCACTCTGTTCATGCTGGGGCTGTCTCATGAAGTTGATGATGAGAAGCTGAAGCAGGAGAATGAGCAGCACCATGACCTAATCCAGAGTAACTTCATGGACACATATCTCAATCTGACCATCAAAACCATGGTGATCATGGACTGGCTGGCCAAACGCTGCCCTACGGCAGCCTACGCTATGAAGGTCGACTCTGACATGTTCCTGAACATTGACAATCTGGTGATCATGCTACAGAAACCAGAGATACCCAAGATGAACTACCTGACAGGACTGCTCATGTGGAACAGACCTGTGGTACGATCAAAGAACTCTAAGTGGTATGTCCCCGAGGAGCTGTACCCCGAACCTCTGTACCCAACTTACACTCTGGGCATGGGATACATTTTTTCCAATGATCTTCCTAAAAAGTTTGTGGAAGTTTCCAAAGCCATCAAACCATTTAACATTGAGGACGCCTACATTGGAATGTGCATAAAAAAGCTCGGCTACGCACCTACCTCACCCCCAGACCCCTCCCAGTTTCAGTCCTATAGCAAAGGATATAATCGCTGTCAGTACTCTAAAATCATCACCTTTATCCTCGGCTCCTCACAGGACCTGAAAAACTACTGGGAGGACCACAAAAAGCCTGGACCCTATTGTTAGGACAAATCTGCTGATGCACTTGGGAAGCACTTGGTTTAACTTATTTTCTAAATGTTTACTGAACTGGAACTCTTTACTTTGATAGTGAAATTCGGTGACTGTTTTTTAAACGTGCAGTTCTAATTAAAAATAAATTAATAAATAGACTCCTTAAGTTATGTTGGTTTGAACTTTCTTTCTCACCAAACTGGCATTTGTAAATGTAAAACGAAAGAAAGAAGAAAGTATTCAGCCATGACTCGATTTATGGTACAATAAGATGGGTCAACTAACTGTGTTAGTATAAATAATAAATTCATGCACAAAATGAACTAGGGTGAAAGTATAACTTTGTGGTCTCATGCATTTATTTTAAACTGCAGGTATTTTGTATTTACAAGATCATTTAAATAAAGAACATGAAGGTTTTTTGGTACCTGGATGTGGGGAATAAAGTTTTTGTGTTGTGTTGGCTTTGCTTTTCATGAAAGTTCTGAATGCCAGAAGAAATAACATTAGAGATTTTACTCCTCCTTGTAAATGTTTATATTTTGAAAGCACTTTTGGCATTTCCATTTGACAATGATTGGCTGCTTTTTATTAAAATAAAAAGTATATATTTTCCCTATTTTTTCCCTTCTTTGGAACGTTGAAAAAATTTACCAGGTGGTTGTGCCACCTTTTAATTTTTACAGAAATCAAAACTGACTGTTTGCAAGCTGGTGTGCAAAATAAACATAATCAGACCTAAGAAAAGCATTTATCTTCACAGTAGTTTTATTATGATTGCTCACAACCAAAAGACAAGCACACTTGTTTTGGCTTGTGTCAAAGTATTTTATAAACCCTCTGGACAAATTTAAATGGGACTTCATAAAGTAATCAGTGAAAGTACATCAGGAACTAATTAAGCTTTGTAGTCAATCTGACCTTAAAACACACACACACACACACACACACACACACACACACTCAACAGCGTCGTATTGATATATGGGATGAGGGGAAAACAATTTTGAAAAAAATGTGTGGTCCTGCATCTGGTCACCCTAAAACACACACACANCACACACACACACACACACACACACACACACACACACACACACACACACACAAAACAACAACTGTAAATCCTTTCAATTTTACAGATACTGACCTAAAATGTGGTAACAGATGAAACTGATTCTAAATCATTGCTCTAACATTTCTGTGCAATGTATTTGTTGGAAAGGTTGCTATTTGGAGTATACTCAGCTTGTTAGCAAAATATCTTTTTTACCGTTTTGATGAAACTTTCACAAACTTATCATTCAAAGAACATCTACGATTGATTAATGTTTTAAGCTATCTAATTTTAAAATGGCCCTTGGATCCAACTGACATAAGAAAACACAAAACCAGCTGAAATTCAGTCAATTTTACAAATTTGGTGTTAAAATTTGGTCCTATTGTAGCTAAGAGTAATTTTCTACAAATACTCTAAGTCACAGGTGTTGAACTTCAGTCCTCGAGGGCCACTATCCAGCATGTTGTCTTGTTTCCCTACTCAAACACACCTGATTTTGCACAGCCTTCAGAATTTGAAGAGGTGAACCACTGAATCGTGTGTTGGAAATGAAATGAGTAAAACATGCAGGAGGTTGACACCACTGTTATAAGTGCTACTTTTTCAAAAAGATAAACATCAATGAGTGTAGTAGGTGCATGCGTACCAGTGAAAAAATTAGCAATACTGAGCCTAAGGGGACACCTACTGGTGATCACAGCTTACTACAATAAAGACTGCTCATGGTTTCACCTTCCAACCATATGTTGGCACCTATTGTTTGTTTAAAACTATATTGGCCTATCATTTATCAACTTAAAAAGCTATCTTTAAAGGTCTTTAACCAACTGCTATCATGCAAGTAAACCTATTAGCAAAGTCTTGGTAGTAAATCTACACAGTTAGGCTTATTAAAACTCAAAAACAAGATACTGCGTAGTGGTGGCATATATGACCCCACACATACACAAAGCACATGAACTCACATATGGGTTGTGGCTGTTTAAGATGTTCTATGTGATAATTAAATAAACCACATTCACATGCTTACAGTGGTGGAGAAAGTACTCAAACTCTGTACCTAAGTAAAAGTACAGACAAAAATGTACTCTAGTAAAAGTACCACATTATTTTTTTTACTTAATTAAAAGTAAGTAATCACTTGCTGTTAAAAACAAAAGTACTTGCTAAATATATTTCCTAATGGTCTACAATATCATGAAGTGTGCCTACTGTATGTATATTTTCAATACATCAATGGTGTGCAATTTAATGAACAATGCTGCAGATAATGCATGTATTTGTGTTTAACCTCTGTGATGCTGTTCACACTTGGACTTGTGATTATGTGCATTGTCAGAGATTGTGACAACAGCAACAGAAGCTGTAAATTCACCAGCAACCTCCTCTTTCAAATCACAACGAGTTTTTTAACCAATTAACTTGAATAAGTCTTAAATAAGGCCATGGGTGGCACATTTCAGCTGTTTGGGGTGGAGTTTATGAACATGTATATGGGGCTGTTGGACTCTTAGTCAGTGTAGATCAGACAGGACAACATCTGTGCCAAATTTCATCAAGATCTGACAACGTTAATGAATACAGGCTTGAAATAAATTTTCTGTTATGTTTTGATTATTTTGCCAGTAAGTGGCAGCTGCATGGAAACATGAAATGATGTCATGAAATGATAGCCCTTCATCAGAGCTAACCAACAAAATCTAAMATTTCTATGTTGARTAGTTTTGAGATATAAGCATTGTTGTATGTCAAGACACCAACTTTTCAAATAGTCCTCAAGGACCCCTATCCAGCATGTTTTTCTTGTTTCCCTGCTATTCAGCAGGTCTTCAGAAGATTGTTAATCACTCTTCATTCAAACCAGGTGTGTCAAATCAGGGAAACATCTAAACATTCAGGAAAGGAGTCCTTGAGGATAGACACAGTACAAAGGAATTTAGGGAGCAAACATATACAAATCATGATATGATTTTTGAAAGACAAAATTGTTGAACAGAATTTGAGTTTGATAGTAGTTTTTTGTATTTCTTTCTTTCTTTCTTTCAAAATGTAAAAAGAAAAACAATAATCCCAGTTTCTTTCTATGTAAATTTTGCATAATGTAGGTGTAAGAAAATACGTGTTTTAATATCGGCTGAAGTCAGATGAAAACACCAGTGTTAAATAAAATGATCTGTGATGAGAAATAATGTCATACAACAGCAGAATTCTGGAGTGGGGGGTTATTATGCCACTGGCTGGCAAGTCAAAACCACACACTGGAAGAAAAACAGGAAATGGACCAGTATATATACCTACAGAATCTTCAATGCCTGAGTTCGCCCCCTGCTGACCTATGGCTGAATCACCGGCATTCAGACAACAACCTTGATCTAATGGTTTAAAAACGGTTCACTTATGTGTTGTTATTGATTCGGACATGTATCTACCTAATTTAATTAACACATAATATAACAAACATTATAAAAGTATTATAAAATAAGGAAACCCTAATACTCTGGTGTTGTTTATAATCAGTACTGAGCTATAATAACTATAAATTTCTTCATAGGCTTACAGTGAAAATAGGCAAAACAAAATTTAATTGCCTCACAAATTGATCTATTATTCTTGTTTCTAAAAGCCAACTATTTTATATCAGAGACGTTGACATCTGTATATAAGGTCSACTCATCAAGGCAAATCTAAATTTGTCATTTGATCAAAAAATAATAAATAACACTATAATATCATAACTTAGATTTTTATTAAATTTAGCAACAATATAAATATAAAAATAATAAAACTTTTATTTACAGTGAAATATATTGTATTAATATGTTGCAACCACCCCCAGAAAATGTTGCAACCGTCCCCGACCCCGGGGTCAGTTGCAACACCCATCTTTTCATTTTCTAATGCAAATTGTGAAGAATGTACATGCTTTAATCATCTCTAAATGGTTTTGACTATCAACAGACAGATGTAAGTTTATTGTATTAACATTTGGTTTGTCTAATTCAAACCATCTCTGAGTAACWGAGTCAAATGCAAAAAGTGTTGCAACTGTCCCAGGTCTCCCCTAATATTAGTGAAATGATCTTGAACCACACGCCATACCAGTACGTGACGTTAATGCAAACGTCTAGTTTAATGCCAACTGCCATTAAACAACACAACAACAAGAGTCCTTGAGGACTAGGGTTGAGAATCTCTGCTTTTATACAAGTTATTTGATTTATTATTTACAAATAAATGGCAAAGAATCAATGACTTCCAGAGACAACACTAAAAAACATAAAACTGAGTCAATATTATATTTTGAAAATGTCTCATCAAGCTCAGAGAAGCTCTTGAGKTGTTGGTCAACATTTAAAGCAGTGATTGTAGATATTTCCCTGATTGGACACACCTGGTTTGAATGAATTGAGTGATTAACAATCTTCTAAAGACCTGCTGAATAGCAGGGAAACAAGTAAAACATGCTGGATAGGRGTACTGGACCAGGGTTGGGAACCACTGACCCAAAGCCAACAGCTCAAGGGCAGGACAGGCATTATTATCTTTCACATTTTAAATATATTTGTTTTGTACCATTTAACCATAAATTTAAAGTTTACCATTGACTTAAAAACAGTTTTCACATTAAATAAATTAATAAAAACTTATTGGTGGGCCGGACSAAGTCACCTGCAGGCCAAATGAGTTTGAAAAACATGATGTAGTTGGTTCAAAATCCAGTTATTTCCTGAAATTTTTAAATTTATGACTTTAAGTATTGGGTTAATGGGTGACAAAGTTATTTATTAATCTTTAATCAACCTGGTAAATCATTTTGAAATCACAGTTCTCTTTTGCAAGGGAGGCATGGGCCTGAAGGCAACTTACGGTAACTAGGATTTTTCCTATTATTTATTCATTTTTTTTGTCAAATAGACACAGGTTAGGTTTATAGGTTGCTTTATTGCTATTTGTAGCAGCAGTATCTCCAGTAAACTTTACTGATTGCTGTTATGTGAGTGTGAGGACATTTGCTTTAGATTGGTTGTCCTTATTAAGGGGAATTCAGTTTGAAGTTTCAGTTAAGTTTTAAATCAGAAATGAAGCCTAAAGTTTTGAGACACCTTCTTATTCAAAGATCCAATAAATGCAAAGTGTGTGCTTGTCTGTAATCAAAGCAAATGTGCTGACTTTGAAGAATCTTAAACCTAAAACATGTTTAAATTCACTACATGGTTTCTGATTTGAAATGCTAAAACAAACAAATTATCAACAACAATCTATATATTTATATATTACACATACACTTGTACCTATTTAGAGGAAGTTGATCTTACCTTGAATGAAATTGCGTTAATATTCCAAATTATGCAGAATAAGGAGTGAAGCCATTGCCAATACTGTGTCTTTAGGAATGTTTTTCAGTCTTCTTCCAGCCACTATAAACTCTTATTCTTAAGTGACTTTCTTCATTTCCAGGATCACTGCATAATAAAACAACAAACATATTTTATTTTGGATTTAGCTAAGCAAAGCAAAAATCAAGCACTGTGGATTTTTTTTATTCGTATGATTT